GAATTTATTTCTTCGCATGTTTTTTTAAAACTTTTCGCGAAAAAAAAACCTCGACGTGCACGATCTGGTGCTCAGATTATGCACAGACAGTTTTTCCTCTGCATCAGCTGCTTTGAATTTTAAAAAATAATACAAATAATGGTCAGTCCTTTCATAAATAAATGCATGACAAGAAGCTCATAAATGTAATTTTGTTGGAGACCATGAGATAGGGAACGTGAATAAGGTGGGCAATTGTGAAATAGAGGAAAAAAGACGTCCTACGTTTCTTGAGTGTCGACCAATTAGTGTAAGTTTTCTGCCTAATGTAGAAAATTAAAGACTATGTGAAGCTTCATGCTGATGCATTTTCAAGAGCAGTGAATTTTTATGAGTTTTTTGCAGCTATGCAATGCAGAAAAGCATATTGACGGGAGGTTGTCTGTGTATTCGTGTGTCTGTTTGTGCCTCTGTTACGCATTTTCATCTCAAGACCTATAAAAGTTGCGGGGCTGAAATTTCGGGAATTTAATCTACATGCACGTGCCGCAATCCCCAAAATGGGCGCCCATACCCGCGTGCGGGCCCGCCAAAATTTTTTTCGGGTAAGTTCATAACTCGGGGATCTGAGAAGCTAGAAAGCTGAAATTTTAGATGTTCCCCGTCCAAATTGGTATTAACGAGTTCAAACCCTGCCTGCCGGTATGCATGGTACTTACGTACGGGCCCTTGGAAGTTTCTTCCGGGTAAGTTGCTAACTCGGGAACGTGAGAAGCTAGAAGACTGGGATTTTGAAGGGATGTTTCCTGCAGTCCTGGCGGCCAGTCTGAAAAATTCTTTTAGCTAGAAGCATCTGCCAGAAAAACCAGTGCCGTTAGCGCCAAAAATCTGCGGGGAGCTATGCAAAAAACACATCTTCGCACGAGCAACCCGTGCTTTGACCAATTTTTAAGTTCATCAGGTGCTTCGACTTTTGCAGAAGGTGCTTCGACTTAAAGGTAGAAAATATTTGAGAAGAAAGAATTGGGCGAAAAATGAGATTGCTTGTGAATGCCACCCACTAATTTTGTCTTTTTTAAAACTGTATTTGCATATCAATTTTTTCGAAATTGAAGCAGTTTATATTTAGGAAGAAAAGCACAGAAACAGAATCATGCTACAATGCGCATTACCTAACCGAATGTCTTGAAACCTTATACACAAACGCACGAATTGTCAATCCAATCAATGCATATTGGCTTCGCTCGTTTGCAGATTTCTCCTTTGGTTAGTAGTTTCCCATAGAACTCATGCATCGACGAAATATGAAGATTACTTGACAACTGTACATTTTTGATCCAGTTCACACTGCTCTGAGGAGTACTGCAAGAATTTTATTTTGCGGTTTTTTTTGCAGCTTGTGATAAATTTGACGATGCCCTGACGCTTT